CTCACTATTGTAGCACTTTTAATTTCCTTCAAGATCTTTTCCTTTGTATTCACAACTTGGCTAACTCTTTGGCACAAGACGCCTAACTTTTGGCTCATCTCAGTTTTCTATATGCTTTCCTCACTAAACATAAGCTTAACCATTTCTAGCTTTTGATTTAAAGTGAGAGATGTATGATTCTTCCTTTTACTTCAACACTTAGAGGTCACTGTAGGAGTATTAACTGGCCTAATTTTAATATTGTTGTATCTCAGGGAATAAGGAGGACTGAAGAAAGGGAGAGAGATGTGGGAAGGGCCCATTGGTGACACAGTGGTGACACAAATCCCAGATCACTGATCCCAGATCACCATAACAGATATAATAATGACAAAAAAGTTCAGAATATTGTGAGAATTACCAAACTATGACACAGAGACATGAAATAAACACATTCTTTAGAAAAATAGCAGTGATGAAATTTCTCAATGCGTGGTTGCCACAAATTTTCAATTTATTAAAAATCACAAGATCTGCTAAGCACAATAAAGTGAGGTATGCCTGTATGTTTTCAATAAAATTCTGCTCCACAAACAAGGATAACAATATGAAGAAAAGTCAATGTTCATCCAAGTATTTCCATTAATTTTCTAAAATTTTTACTGCTTCTAGCTCTCTAAAGCCACAGGAAATAATAAAAAAAATGAAATAAAAGTTTTACTGCTGGATTTATTCATTTGAGTTCTTGCAGTGAGTGATTCCTGAGAACCATATGCAAAAGTAAATGGCATCAACATGCTGCATTACCTGCTTGAGACTTGAGGGTTAAAGAAAGCTTAAGAAGTTCAGTGGACAGAGGGACAAGGGATAATCTACAATGGGCATGAAGATGTGGAATAGGACAATAGTTCAGAGAACATTGGTGGGATAAAAATCTCAAATACTATCTTTTGTTGTTTGTAAAACATATCTTTCCCCCCCATATTTTGACATCGTTAGAACTGGGATCCATCTTACAATCAATGGAGTTTTTTAGTTTAATGAGTAATTTTTATTCTTTTTATTTGTATGTGAAATAAGGCCAATTTTCAAAATATATGGCATAATTTATTCAATTGAATGCTTTTATAACTCTAGCATCCATAATGGGATAAACAGAGTTTTGGGAAAGAGAGAAAGAGAGGAGTGAAATAAGACTATTGGGAGCAAAGAGAGGCATTCCAACTTTATGTAGGAAGCTGGTAGGAAGCTACCAGCTGGTAGGAAGCTACCATAATCCTGTGCTTTGTATATGTGCAAATATATAGCCTTTATCACATTGTATTAGAATCAGTTGTGCATGTATCCACTTCACTTCCTAAACTCCTTAAGAAGAGGACTGTGAATTAATCTTCCTTGTATCCCCCAGTGCTGGGCACTTGATAGAAGATCAAATTCATTTGTTCAAGTAAGTTAATTCTAATAGCTTTGTCTTCTACAAAAAGGGAAGCAAACATTATATGTTGTGATAAATTTGTTAGGTACTTCTTAAGAATATATTAAGTTGTCCGATAAGGAACATTAACTTACTTGAGCTATTTGATTACTCTCTAATTCACTGATGCATTAATTTCCTGAATGTAGTAATTACAAATCAGAAATTGCAAATGGAGAAATGAATTAAAACACGCTGCTCTAGGGCAGCTAGCAATGCTTAGGTGACCTAAAATATTTGTAAAAAGCAAACATATTCTCCAAAAGTAATTTGCCTAGGAGCAGGCTTAGCCTTAAATTTCACGCGTGAAGTAAATTTATAAATATCCCAATTTTCTAGGAGTTTATAAAAGCAAATACAATACCGTAACTGAAACATCAAATATGGAAAATATACAAACAATGGCAGAGTGATTGAATGTAAACACATTTGTATCTTGTTCAAAATAAGCATAAATGAACATAGGAGAAGAATGAAGAACCTCACTGATATATTTAGCAATGTGGAGGCCATCGACAATCTTGAAATAAATAATTCTGGGAAGAGAAAGAGGGTCATGAAAAGTGGTGCAATTTAAGAAAGAAAGGGAGGATAAGAATTGAAGGAAATGAGTACAGGAAAATCTTGCAAGGAGTTTGCTGTAAGGAGTGAATATAAATGGAGTATGGAGGAAGTGGAGTCAAAAGAAAGGGCGTTTTTTCCTTAAAATCTGAGAGATAACACCATTTTTGTATGTTTGTAGAAATAAAATTGATTATAGGGGATAAAAAGGGAAAATTGCCTCTGCATGATCTTGTATAGGTGAGAGGAGTTGGAGTCTATGATATAAGAAGAGAGACTTAGATGGGAACATGAATAGCTCAATTATGTAAGAGGTGGGAAGAAAGATTCTGAGGGAGTACATGCTGATAGCTGGCACTTTTGCTATTGGGAAGTGTTTTCTGATGGTTTCAGTCTTCTCAGTGAGATAGAATCCAAAGTTGCTAGCTAAGAACAAAAGGAGGGAAGTGTTTAGGACTCCGGGAAAAAGCACAAGTTTGGGGACAATCACCCAAAGAATGGGAGAATAAACAGAATCGGATTCCAGAATATGATTGCCTGGTAGTATTAGATACCTACCTGAAATTTGTTTTTATAAATTAACATGAAATCAACAGAGTTGCGAGTTTTTTCCAGCTGTGTTCAGATGCACAGCAGCAGGGCTGATTTGAATTTAACCAGAGTTGAGGTTTTGCCAAGCTAATACGATGCATCAAGCAAGGGACAGAAGAGTTAGGGTACTTGAGGAAGAATGATCACAGTGATTCACCATAGAATTTAACTAAGTAAGGAAGAGCGTGTGGGCACCAAGGAGTAAAGAGACTATTAAATGGTGGTTGTGCTGAATGGAATAATCCCTGGAAGCCTGTGAAGGACTGACAGGGTCAGAGTAGTAGAAGTTGTGGACCGGAAAAAGCAGAAGTGCTAGTCAAAGAATGAAATGCGTAGATCAAATCATAATCAACGATTAAGTGCATATATAGTAATAACACTCATGGGGTGTCGGGCAGGTGGGAGAGGAGAGGAGAGGAGAGGATGGGTATATACACATGTAATGGGTGTCGTGCGCACCGTCTGGGGGATGGACATGTTTGAAGCTCTGACTTGGGTGGGGCAAAGGCAATATATGTAACCTAAACATTTGTACCCCTGTAATATGCTGAAATTTAAAAAAAAGTCTAGAAAGAATGCAATAAAAGACAGAGAATACAGACAGAGAATTAAGAATACACAGTTCAAAAGGAATTATTCAAAGAAACGGGAGAATTCAGACATAGACTCATAGAAATTACAGACATGAATTCTCTAAATATAGTTCAAAGAAGACTTTAAAACCCAAAGAAAGAAAGAAAACCCAAAGAAAGAAAAGAGAAAACATTTAAAAATATTTCAGAGATGAGAGCCATTTGGAGAATGAACACCAAACACAGTAAAGATTCAGGGATGGATAGGTGGAACAGGGTAGAAAAAAATCATACATGATGAGATGATAGAGAACTATAACATAAATGTTATTATAAGAAAGATAATAGGAGATACAGGAAATCCAATGTATGTAAAATAGGTGTTAGACAGGGACCAAATCTGCAGGTGGCAGATACAAGCCAGGAGATCCGAGGGGTGGAGAAGTGGGGTGGGAAGGGACTGCAGGAAAATGCAACCAACAACCAGAAAGAGCAGCAACTTGAGGCTTTGAGGCACACACCTGTGTGTGAGGCGCCACACCTATGGAGCTACAACTTTGTTATAAGAACACTTGTCAATCATGCATATCAATCATCTGGTAACATCCCATACCTAGGATATATATTAAAAGTACTCCAAAATTTCAACAGAGGTTATCTATAGATGGTGAAAACATATATATAAATACATTTATATACATTTTTTCCTATTTACAGTTTTTTTTTTGTTATCTGTAGTTTATCATTATCCTGCATTAACATGAAATATATTTCCAATTCTAACATGCAACATATTTTTACACTCCTAAACTAAAGACAAGTCATATAATTAGTGATATCTTAGATTCAAAGAAATGTGGTGATTTTGTAATAGAAATATTAGCATATTTAAAACAAAGAAGGGATGATGATCAAAGAGGCTTCAGACAATAACTTGTCTTAGAATCGACTCAAAGAGGTTTCCAGGATCAATAAGAAGGATGGTAACAGTTTGTGGGTGAGGTTGTTTTGTGCAGGCTCAATAAAATTAAGTCAGGAGGGACAGGTTCAACAGGAATGAAGTGATTTACCATACAGGCAAAATAAGAAGAGTGTGTGTTATGAATTAAAAAGACAAAAAAATAAAATAAGCAAAACCTTTTCTGTAGCATTTCATTTGAGTTGAAGTGAGACATTCTGAGACAGAGTTTGCAGACTGGGCCATCAGAACAAGAGCAAGGAGACACTTGGGAAATGGCCTCTTGACCACACTGTCTATAGGAGTAGGACCTATTTGTGAAATTACTTACTCTTGAAATGCAATGACCAAACACATTTTGAACTTGTTTCTTGTCCTTTCAGGGATAAGTGTATTTTACTTACAAATTTGATTAATTTAATTTCCATAATTCTCACATAAATACAAAATAACCTTACATTGGATTAAAGGTGACTGTATTCTCTCTTTCTGCTTAATCTCTGCCATTCGTAATTCCACTCAAAACCTTTTCCTCAAATCATAATGCACTTTGGATTGTACTCTTGCCTTCATTATGCCATATGTAGAATTTGTTTCAGTAATACATTTTCTTATCATTAAAGCAGATTCTTAAAGGTATATAAGTGAGAAAAAGGAAATGATCATTTTCCCCAGAATATTGAGTTAGCCTTTTACTGGACTTTAAAATAATGACTAAATAGTGGCCAGGTTTAGATTATTTTTCATTTGTATCAGAATCTCTCATACAAAGGGAAATTCTGATAACTAAATGCATTACATAGTCTTGGTTTTAGTTTTATTTCCCAAAAGTATTAAATGAAGGTTTTTTAAGAAATTGCCTTACCCAACAAGTTTGACTGCATGTGTCCGAAGTTTTCGATAGTTTTCTTCATTCGTGCTGGTAACATGTCTATATATCCCCGTCTTATAATGGAAGAAATCCTCATGGACCTGCATTATGGCTAAAATGAAACCCAACAGTGGCATGTGACAAATGGCATGGTATTAAAGCAGCGTCTTTAAAAACCTCCAGAAATTCTCACAAAACATACAATGGATAAATAACAAGTAGTTGAATCTAAGAAAGGATTATGCAGTTCAGCCTAATTTTCTTTCCTACTTAATTTAACCAGTTGCAATATTTTCTTGTTCTCTAATAAAAATACTTTTCACTATTTATAATATTATTTAATTATATTAAGCAATATATTATTTAAGTTACTGTGTAGCCTTAATGAACAGAGGCATGATTACCAGGAATTGAGCCCATTGCACCAAAGGCCCAGTACACTCGGTCAACGATTGCTATATTTCCCTTAACTTTGTGCTTCATCACAAGCCTCTTAAAACCCCAATTAAGCTAGCAGAGAAGGGTGAGCCCAGCAACCTATGCTTAAAAGCTGTCCTTAATCCTTACAAGTAAACACAAACCTATCTTGGGTGAGTGTGAATAGAAAAGCAAACCCCTGGCAACAGAATACTCTGACAAGATTTCATTGTCCCAGCTCTGGAGAGCTAAAGCAATGTTGCAAGCTTTAAAAAGTAGAGCTTATAGTTTAGAAAGCTCTTCCTCATTCCCTCACCTAGATTGCTTCTCTATTGTGTGCTGCTTTGTTACAGGGCTTGGGCAATTCAGAGTGAAGACTTTAAACTTCTCTTCTAGAAGATATGAATTGAAACATTTTTAATTGAGATTATACATGCATACTTGAGAACTGTGTACAATGCTTGTCTATCTTAGTTTGACATGCATTTTAAATAAAATAGGAACTCAGGTAAGTAGCATTTAATAGATCCTTTAAAAAAGAAAAAGCTTATACTCCAAAGTTATATACAACTTTTAAAACATTCGACTTTTTATTTCATTTGTTTGGTCTTCCATGCTTTTACTGATGTTGTTCAAATAATCTCAAAAGAGGCTAACTCTTCTTTATCTGCTCTAAAACACAATCCTATAGGACTTTATTTATATATCTCTACTCTATGCAGATCTCTTCTTTTCTTCCCTTTCCATCAATTATACTTATTTTAAACTCTATAGATTTTGGAAGAATATGCACAATGTTATTTATTTAGCATTCTATTGCCTTTTACATTCTTTCAAATGGATACAGATGGAAATGCTATATGTTAGGCCAGGCAATAATATACAGACAATCATGTTTCATCTGCAGAAGAATCAACCAGCATTCTATCCATTTATAAAAAATGTGAAGGTTTTGCTAGTGAGTTTTCTTTTCTATAGAACCATTGAGTCCTTTAGGTCCTATGATTCAACTTTTCTCTAAGCACCATGAATAAAATATATTATTCATTGCTAAAAAGCACTTCCAACTAAAGGAAAAGGGTGAGAAGCCATCAAAAGTAACTCAAAAGTGGGCTTCTTCCTTCAGTTTCTGACACAAAAACAGACTTGATAAACCCACAAACATATAACTATATAAGCCACTATACTGCAATTTTACTTTTGGAAAACTGTAGCAACTCATGATACAGAATCATAACATACATGAGGTCGGGATAGTTCTGCTTTGATGTATTTCTTGCTCCTGGCTCAGAATGTCAGGAAGCAGATTCTCAACAAATCTTGGTTAAACGGGTGTTGAATAATTTGCATTTTCATTTTACTGCTTTGAAATTTTCCTTCTTTATTTTTGATTCATTATGTAAAGTTCATAAGCATCTAAGTATATGGCCATAAAGTAAACCTAAGGTGCTCTCAATTTTAAATAATTATGAACAAATTTTTTTTTACCAATTTGAAAAATAGAGAGAGAAAAAAGGAAACTCTTGAAACAGTAGCGCAATGACGTGAAGATTCCGAGGGGTTAGTAAATTACCCAAAGTCACTTAAGTAGCAAATTTCAAAGTTGGAATCTTTCCGTGTAGCCTGAGTTCCAATACCTGTGATCCTTCAGATTGGTCACATAAGCACCACTTAATGAAGCACACGCAGAAATTCAACATGGATTCCTTCCACTCTTATAACAACCAACAAACTACATAACTGTAAGGGGGAAAAAAGCTTCTCTCCATTTAACTCAGGTTTTGTGTAAGGTCCTGGATTTTTTAAATTAAATTCAAGACATTTATCTTACGTTTTGGTTTTTTAATAAATGCTAAGTGGTGATAACGGCCAATAAAAATTCTTCCAACACAATTATTAAATCTGTGATTCCAGCTATATATTGAGCAAGCACTAATTAGGTCAGCACTCAGAAAAACAAAAACTGATCAATAGTTCCTTAAGTATATAACAAATGTTTTCAATTTAATTTTGCTTATTTTATATTCCACTGCAATGGTATTATAAAGTACATTGGGCTTTATATTCAGTGTTCACAACATGAATTTTCATTTTAGGCCTCATTGGATTTGTTCTTTCATCCATTTCAAGGCAATGCTTATATGGGAAATATACTCTGTAAATTTACCCTTATCCATAACATTGTTGCAAAATAAAATTCACTAGGTAAGGAAAAGAAACTATTACTAGAGACAGTATCTTATAAATCAGCTAATGTACAATAAGTCACTGAATTATTTTATTATGCACTGTTAGTTTACTCTCAACAACACACTTAAAAATTGATAAAAATTGAAAGCCTTTTGTAAGACACAAAATTGTACTGGCTTATTGATTTATTTTGAGCTAAAAGAAAAGGGAAAGTATCGACTTTTTTCTACTATTAATCCTCAATTTTTTTCCAATCTATCACCTAATTTATTTAAATTGAAGGTCAGAAAATATGTATGTATGATTCTTAAATATGATTGAATGAATAAAGTGAACTTCACTGTAAATTAATCACTTGACATTTCATGTCTAACTCTCTGTTCCTTCACTTTAGAAAGATAGCAGACTTTTATCAAATGTGTCATTAATATCTTAGAATTCAATTTGTGAATGAGTCTATGTTCTGAAAATAAAATGGCAGTTGATGAAGTTATTAGATGAGTTTATCTCCCATAATTGCTCTGATTTTAAAACTGTTGAGCCCTTATGAATACTTTTTAAATTTTTGTTTGTTTGTCTGTTTTTAGAGACGGGGTCTCACACTGTCTCCCAGACTGAAATGCAATGGCATGATTATAGCTTACTGCAGCCTTGAACTCCGGGGCTCAAGCAATCCTTACACCTCAGCATAGCTGAGTAGTAGCTTGGATTACAGGTGCAAGCTCCCACAACCGGCCCTGTAACCTTCTGAATACTCTTAACGCAAAAGTTTTCTTTCTTTTATTAAACTCCTTTTACATGAGCTCAATGTAACATTTATTAGAGAAATGAATAAAACAAGGCCATATTTCATCCAAGCTTACCTTGAACTGGTCCATTTTGCATGATTTCTCTCATTATCTCGGTTTCCTGGTGGGAAAAATATTAATGAGCATTATCATTGTTATCACAGCATACTAAATCTACTGGTTGGTATACAATGTTAGGTGTTGTACAACCAATTAGGTGTTATATAATCCAAAGTGACCTCACCTTTTGCAATTTACTCTTTAACATGCTTTGAAATACTCATATGAAATGCCACATTAATGAAGTTGCCAAAGACAACATGTACCTATTTATTTTAATGATTGTTATCACTAAATAATAATTTTGGAATGGAGAAAACATTGTAAGAACTTTTTTATGATAACAAAGAAAAAATAATCATGGTAAATTAAAATTATGTTTAATCAATGCGTGGATTAATGTGACCTCTAATCTTTTCATCTTAAGAGCTATCCCAAACAACTGTTTAGTGATGTTCCTCAGTAGCTTTAGTACAGATATTTCTATGTTGCCTCCCAATGTGTTTCAGTCCTCAGTAGAGATGCGGGGCATTCATCAATTCATTCTTCTACACACAATGAGCTCAAAGTGCATCCCAGATACTACAATAGAAACAAATATCAACCTTTCCTCAAGGTATTTACATTTTGGTGGAATAGACAGACAACACAATTAATGTCATTATTATATAATAAGATCTATTAGAGAGACAATCACAAAGTGCCATGTATATAAACAAAGCAAGGGAAATTAATCCTGCCTAGGAATCAAGGAAAAGTTCACAGAGAAGATGAAGTTTTGAGCTGGCTCTTGACATTCATGTATCATTTTATCAGATGGAAAGGTGGAAGGACCGCTGGAGTCAGAGGAATTATCACCTAGCTAAATAGAGAAGCATAAAAAAGCATGATGTATGTGGGGAAGAGAGACTAGTCTTATATATCAGAAGCATTATGGCCAGGTAGAGAGGGTAGATGCTAGCAAGACAGAAGTCTATAAAAGTAGCAAGTCAGAACCAAGTCATGAAAGGTCAGCGCACCGTGGTAAGAATACCGAATTATATTCTGGAGATAAATTGGAGCCACTGAAGGTTCAGATTTTCTGAAAATAAGAAGGCCTAGGTAACCTGATACTAGTGAGTAAAACTTGCCTAGATTTTAACATGACAAACTGGAATCCAAGGGAATCTTTTTCCTACAATGGTATGTCCTCTTCAATGATTTTGTGGAGCAAGGCAATGGGTTGCTTAATCGAGCTAATACCAGAAAAAAGTAAGCGAAACAGTATTTTATTTAGTTTTTGTCTAGTTTATATATATACATATATATACACACACATTATAAAACTTAATTTTAAAACCCTATTTCCATGAGCATTTTTTAATTTAAGCCAATACTTCATACTGTTAATATTACAAAGATTACAAATCATACCCAACCTGAAAGTCTTTAAAGAATACGTTAAGAAAATAACAAATTTACGCTTGAAGATGTAACATTTATTTATATCAATATAATAGTTTTAAATTGTTTTTAATAGTTTGAATAACAGCAGAGCTATGCTTGTTTGAGAAAGTCAACCATTATTATTCCTTGCCTTTAGACTTACGTTGGAAGAGACTCTGTATGGAGGAGAACACTGGTAGATCCTGTTAGATTTCTCTATGCTGTTGGGACATGGCTTTGTGGCATGCCGTTTTCCCCGGCCATCAGACCTACTTGCCATGGCACATCCATTATTGGTAGCATTTTGGTCCTTGAAGAGAGGGTAGCATGCATGGGATACCAGTCTATGAGGAATAAGCAAAGAAGCAAAAGTAATATTTAGGAAAATGCCATAATATCCTGTCTAAATTCAATTGTATGGAATTAAACATTCACAAATTATTCTGGGTACTTACATGCATAACTTTCAAAATATTTACTGACTCCAACACAGAAGCTCAATAACATTACAATTCCTCCGCACTCCCCCCTCTTATTTCTTCATTATAATGTTTAAAATCTTGTTTCAATCCATTTTTAATAAATAATTCTATCTTTAGTATAGACTTGCCTGAAGATGAAAAGTGGCCATCAATAAATTATGTGTTAATATTATTAACAGGGGAAGGTCTCCTTCCACCTGTATGTATACAATGTGGAAGATTTAAATTTAATATGGAAAAGACAATAAATTTGATTATTCCCAGATAGTATATTCTGATAAAGTATATAAATTTTAGAATTAAAGGGATTTTCTTTTGTTGTTTTTATATTTTTATTGTTATACATACCTTCTCAGAAGGCTCCAATTATTATATGCCTGTGGTTCATGGTACTTTGGGGTAAATAATATAATACTAGTATAATATTAAAAGTTAATAAAATGAAAGTTTATCAGATGCATATATTACACAAAAGATAAGGAAGCTGATTTTGATTTCTGATTTTGAAGCTGAATGTAGAAAAGTATAATTTATTTGACTCCAACTCTAACATAACCTTATTGAATAAAGAGATGGAGAGTAAGGGAGATAAAACCATGGAATTGGTTTTATAGATATGTGATGCTGAAATGGCCATAGAAGTACCCACTACGTTTGGTTCAGCAAATGTAATAGTACCCAACAGAGCATGATTAAAAATGCTCAAACACTTAAAAAATCTTGCATTAAATATATTACATTTGCTAAATATTGAGTGCTATGGACTGAATTGTATTACTCTAAAATTCATATTTACATGAAGCACTAAAACCCAATGCAATGATATTTGGAGGTATGCCTTTGGGAAATCAGATTTAAACGAGGCCATGTGGGTAGGGCCATCATGGATAGGATTCCTGCCCTTATAAGAAGAGGAAGAAATACTAGATCTCACTCTCTACCATGTGAGGACAGGGCAAGAAGGTGGCCACATAGAAGCCAGAAAGAGGGCCTTTTACCAAGAACCAAATTAGCTAGCCTCTTGATCTTGGATTTTGCACCCTCTGAAACATGAATGTCTGCTGTTTAAGCCACTTAGTCTGCGGTATTTTGTTATGGCAGCCCAAGCAGACCAATACAATGAGATTTAGTTGGGTCTCAAAGATAATTTACGTCTTTAAGCTCCTAAAGGGCTTTTGTTTTTAACATAATGCAAAACAGAAGCCAACCACGCACTAACACACCAGGAAGATATCAGCCCAAGTTGCCCATTTGAAGCACCACTCTATTAGGCAAAACATATGAAAAAAATTTAAATAATTTATTGTCATCCATCAATATCTGTCACATTCTTCCATAGCATCTAACTGTTCTATAGAAGACCTAGAGCACTGAGTGGATGACAAAGCAACACGGGAGGAGTACACATGTACAATACACATGATATACCACTGGTTATCAGCTGTAGTTTCCTTAGCTGCATAACTCAGCTCTTAAATAGATTAGCTCTCATAGAAGACACAAGGATGCTGTGTGGGTACCAGGCTACTTGTAAGGAAATGCAACCTGCCATTTTTCATCAAATGGGATGGGGAAAGTTAATGAATGATATTGATGAATTTAGGCAACTGTAACTTATTTCTTTATTTTATTCTTCTGATTTTTAGTCTAATTTTATCTGGCATTATCTATTTACCAACCTCTATAACTAGATATCAGCAGCATGGATTATTTTATTGCTTCTATGGCGACTCCATAGAACCATTTGGCTCAGAACAACAAGAAGAAAATGTTTACTTGAGTCTTCAAAAGTAAAATTCAGATTAATTTAGCTTGAAATGTATACATTCTTCGATAATTGTGTTTCTAATAGCTTCTAATCTCAATAGATACCAAATATAGTATATATTTAAATATAGTATATACAGTTATATTTATGTATATGTGGCATATCTATTTCTAAATTTTTTGTAAACATTTTTAAATGAATTTTGTTTTTCCTCATTCTAACCCAAACCAGCAGCATGAGAATCCTAGAAACACATTTTGGGCAGCTATTTACCCACGTTTTCTCAGGTACCACCAAGCCCTATCGATGCTTCCACTGTTGCATCCATGACGGTTCTTGGGACAGCAAGAGATCAAATTCTGAGGGGACAGATTGGCTGTGTATCGGCCCTCAGACTGAATTGCTATTCGGTCAGCTGCCACACCTGTTCCAAATAGAATATTGATTAATATCCAAATGGCACATAGTATTTCGAATAATTTACATAGCCCTTTTTTTTCTGAACCCTAAACTAGTCTTCAAAACTGTGTATAATTTAAAATGAAGGCCAGATATCAATGAATATATTTGTGTATTCCAGCCAGTTTAACTGTGTCATAATTTCAGTTATAATTTTTGCCCTATTTTGGTATTGCTTCATAGTCTTACTGGCTTCAACGACTTTCCTAGTTCCTTGTTCCTTTTATGTTCTATATACTTCTGAACTCTTCATGAAGAAATATGTCATGTGAAACTTTTCAAGGGCAAGAGCCATATGTTACTTATATTTCTACTTCCTACATCTAGAACAGTGTCTTGCGCATAGTCACGGGTAAATTTGTTTTTTGAATGATTGTAACTAAACTGGGGAAATCAAGAAAACTGATCATAGAAATATTATTGGAAATTTAACCATGTTAATCTAATATACTGGAGTAAATTGAATCCTTAGTTTTTAAACTGGTATCTAATTTAACTACATAGGAGAGTATACTTAATCTAACCTGGATTAATTCGAATCAATTTTATGCAATATCTAAAAGCTATGTAGCACACTTTTATGCTCATAATATGAATGAAAATGAAAATCATTATCTTAATCTTATTTCAGTAGACACAGAATTCAGCTTCTTTATACATAGGTATGGAACAAGGTGAAATATGATTATAATTGTTATAATTAACTATTTAACTACTGTTTACTAATATTAGTTACAAATAATATAGTTTTATATAGCTACACATATAATTATATATTCTGTAATATTATATATAACTATATATGTAACTAATAATATATAATGATATATAACTAATAATTTAACTACTATTTATTATAACTATTATTAACTAATATTATTAGTTACATATTTATATAACCACTAACTTTTTATGATTAAAACTCCTCTTCTATTTACATAATTTTCTGGCATTGTTGTTATCAGTTCATTTCTTTCTGTAACACGTTTGTTGAACACCTGCTAGGTAACTGGCCCTGTAGCACTAGAAATTACAATGATGAACAAGAAACAAAAAAGACATATTAATATTTCTGCCCTCATAGAATAATAGACTAGGGAAACTGGTAATCCAGTAGCAAAAACATATACATGCCATCATTTTGATCACTCTACTATGATAAACTAAAGTGAGTGATAAGATCATAAAAAAATTGGGGTGAGTGCCATTTTAGTACAGACATTTTTGTTGTTAGATACCTGGTACAGTTTCATTCTTGATGTTTAATTTCTTTTCACTTTTAATTAAAGGCAACAAAGTACTCACTTTTCTTCTATCCAATTCACTTTTCTCAATGGAAGTTACAATTTTTTTCTCATCAAAATTGTCAGTGTACTGGAATCTCTCAAGGTACTAATTTAGTTTCTAAAATGATTCATATTAAAATAGTTAGTTTACAGATTATATCTTTATATGCATAGTTTGCACGTAACTGCATATATGTATAGTGCCATAGTACAATTGCTGACATGTTTTAGATGCTCAATATGTGTTAAATCTATAACCTAATTCCTTCTCAATTCCCATCTGTTATTGTGCTAGGATATATTTCATGGGAGTAAATGGCATTATGCTACCACTGCTGATATTCTCAAGAAAATAAGTCCCTATTTCATAAAAGAAAATAGTAACTCTTTGATGCCTTGACATTCAGCACAAGAGTTCAAAATCAAATTGAAATTTTTAAAAATGTTGGTGTAGCTGTCCTTTCCTACAGGAAATACTTTTATAGTGCAGAGAAAATAGTGGTTGTTAGAAGCCTGGCTTTCAGGATTATTTCTGATACTTCTTGTCTTTTCACCTATTTAGGCCTCTCTTATAAAAGCCAGAAGCTTGAAAAGGTGACTTCTACAATCTCTTCCAGCCCCCTGAATCTGTAGGTTTTAACTAAAGGCTAAATATTTTAAATTCTAATGTTATGTAATATGTTGCTCTCATACAGAATCAGACATTTCTGAATCTCAACAAAGGTTTAGTCCAAATTCACTTGAAATATTTAGAAAAGGTCAGAAGATTTAAGAATGATTCAGTTCTGCCAGTTGTTTTCCACTGACTTCTGGAAAACTTTCATAGGGCATTGCCTCTGAGACAGGCTCTATTGTTGTCTCTGCTTCTTTTATTCTGTCTCCAAATAGACTCTGTGACATGTACTCCCACCACTCCAAACACCTTTATCTCTTATGCTTCTGACAAATAGTTTGAATTTTATTAGGTTATATAACTTTTTTATATATGTACATATTTTAAGAGTCTTATTTATTCCATTTTATAGCTTTCAGTTTCTCTGAAAAAATATTTTTCTTATTGTCACTAGTACTTCCTGACATAATTTTTTTTTTTTTTTTTTTAAGACAGAGTCTCACTCTGTTGCTCAGGCAAGAGTGCCTTGGCGTCAGCCTAGCTCACAGCAACCTCCAACTCCTGGGCTCAGGGGATCCTCCTGCCTCAGCCTCCCAAGTAGCTGAGACTACAGACATACGCCACCATGCCCGGCTAATTTTTTCTATATATTTTTAGTTGGCCAATTAATTTCTTTTTATTTTTAGTAAAGACAGGGGTCTCGCTCTTGCTCAGGCTGGTTTTGAACTCCTGACCTTGAGCGACCCGCCCGCCTCGGCCTCCCAGAGTGCTAGGATTATAGGCAAGAGCCACAGCGCCCGGCCTCCTGACATAATTTTGTAGCTCTTTATGAGGGCTTAGTTTATCTTTCTTTTCTTTATTTAACACACCCACCAAAAACTCAGTCTGATTTGCCATACTGAATACACAGGATACAAAACTGTGACCTCTGAAAGCACAAAAGACTTACAAACTCTCTCTCTGGTGTTTTGGTGGATCAGGTAGGAGGGCAATCCAGACTTCAGCCCTGTATGGAGGACCCCACAATATACCCTCCAGCCTAGCAAGTTGCTCTCAGTATGTCACCACTAGCATCTTTCCCTAGACATCTTCAGAAATACTACTCTCACCTAAATTTAAGGCAAAATTCTTATCTATTACCTAGAAGGTCTAATATCTTAACCCCACGAACATAAAATGACAAATGATTTATTTGATTAAATCTCCCCCCCCCGCTCATCTGGAACGGGACTCAGAAAGACCCCAATATGGGTCCCTAACACATCAAGGACATCAGATAGCCAGAGAGAGTGTACACTGGGGATGTGGGTGACAGTGTGGAATTCATAGACTCAGCCACCCCAGAGGTGAGTGTGGCTTAACGTGATGGTTCTGCCAAAAGCACTGTGGAATGATCTGGCTGATACGATGGCGCGATGATATGAACACAAAGATATCGGCACTTTTCTGTCCCAGGGTGTGCCGTTCCTAGACAGCTGGCTTCTCTAAGGGCCTTGTTTCACAGTGGTTCAGTGTTATAAACTGAGCACCCTTGAAGTTACCTCCAAACCCTAATTTATGTCCTTCCACTACTCAACATCTATACTTATTTGGTTAGTATCTATTGTCATTTTTAAATGGGTTATCTTTATTATACATTATTGTGATTCTGGTAACTTTCTATTACATTTACACTATAATTTTTTTTTATTATTATTATTTTGAGACAAGGTTTCACTCTGTCACCCAGGCTGAAGTGCAGTGGCCTGATCATAGCTCACTGCCACCTCGAATTGCTTGGCTCAAGTGATCCTTTCACCTCAGCCTCCCAAGTAGCTGGGACTACAGGTGCACACCACCTGTAGAGTAGTTTTATGAAGATATGTGATAATGGCCAATCATCATGTTATGTTTTATTTAATTGCTGAAATATAACCAATATTCCTTTGAGGATAGTTTTGGAGATCAAATCTGGGGGTTAATCTGAGTAATTCATTTATTAGATTTGTGAACTTACATGAACATAGCTATAAAACACACATTCCTTATACTTTTTGAGAAACAGTAGCATTCATTTGGAAGCTACTCTTATTAAAACATCACTTATATCACTTTTTGAGTCAGAACCTATATATTTACTTAAATTTATTTAAAATTACATAAACCCATTTGATCTATTATTATTAAGTTTTAAAGTCTTATTTTACATCAAATTAGTTTAATAACTAAATATATTTTGCAAATCTTATAAAGAGAAAAAAATAAGGATTATGTGGGTGTATCCATATGTCTATTAAGATTACAGATGATATTGTAAATGAAGAAGAACTTTAATACTCTTTTTATCATCTGGCCTTAACTCTCAATAGACAAACAAATTTTAGCAACTTTATTTTGTTGCTCCTTTGATTCACTGTCTATTTAAATTTAGACTCTAAAAATAAAAACCAATTTTTAGACTAAAAATGGATTGTTTTATATAATCTTTAGGTTGCTTTCTTCAGTCAGAATAAGATGTTATTTTAATTGATCATATGTTCATATTTACATATTCAGATTTTAAAAACCTTTTAATTATTGCTCCAGTCTCTAGAGTCAAGCCAGGAGTTTATAAGGAAGTAATTAAAATGATCTCATTACTTGCAGTGGAAAATGCCCAGGATGCAGCACAATTTTTCTGATCCAGCGGACCATGAGTCCAACCAGGCCACTTATAAGAAGCGACAAAAAACTCTGGAAGATCAGTTGTTGCAGGTAAAGAAGCCTAAAGGGAAAAGACAGGCATATGCGTCAGATTTTCTCACGTGTCCCAATAGCTATCATAAGAAAATGTCACACTCTTTTATAAAGTTTATAATTATATTTAAAATTATCGTCTACATTCAAGTTTCTAAATGAAGTACAGTCAGGTAGGATTTCTATTTCACTCTGCTTAAAAATGACAATTTAATGTGGGGAATCATATCATAATACAAAATTTTAAGAAAAATACATAGAATGCATTTCCTGGGTTACTGTGCAGTGCAATAATTTCAGCCAATGGTCCTATCATCTCAACTCAGTTTTGCTCATCCATAGAAAAGACTACATAGTGTTATTCAAATTTATCCTTATAAAGACATTTACTTTTATGTTTCTCCTATTTTGGAGAGGGTTTGTGTGATTCTGAGGTGAATTAATTTGAAAGGATGTATTTATGGCAATTATATATTAACACACTTGGAGTATCAAGGAATACATCAATTTTACACCAGCTATTAGGAAATAAACTGGGGTGAATTGGTTGATATTTATAAAATCCTTGAAGATTAAAATGAACTTCCTACCAAATATACAAGACCACGATGACTTAAGAGTCCATGTTGAATCCCTGACAGTCAATTCTCCTGCAATTTTTCCAGAAGGCAAAATAAATGGCTTGAAACTTGCTCTGTTCATGTTATTCAAAAAAATCTACAACACAACACCCTGATTTTTCCCTAAACTTTCTAAACAGTGATGACTTTCACTTCTACAAATAACAGGCTTGAAGCAAATAGGATTTATTAATTTTTCATTAGCCATGTATACATGTTCACAGATACACACCCCCATCAGTGTTTGAGATTGCTTTACCTTTTCAGAGTGTTTTAATACTTATTTTGTCTTCTCAATATCCCTATGTGACATAATCAGAGACAATATTACTATCTCTTTTTATGAATGAGGAAACTGACTTTTAAAGTTAAAAGACATGCTAAGTCTCTCAACTAATTAAGAGATACTCATGGGACTAGACTGAGGTTTCAGAATTCTTATACCCGCTCCATTTCTATCATTTCCTACTTTATCAGAGATATTAGATAATTTGCAGCAGAAGTAAAATGTCTGTAAAGATAAATTTTACCTATTTAAAAGTTTTATGATTGTGCATTAAACAGTCAGTTACTGATCTGGTATCTTGCAAAAAATTACTTCTGACAAGTACATAATAGCTTCAAAGACTAAGAAGGAACACTTAAAATTTACATGTCTGCTTCAAAAGGTGTCTATGCAAAACAATTTATAAATTTGGATTTAATGGGGGAGTTCGGTTTTAATTTAGGAGACTATTAACACCTGATATGCAAGCTGTTAAATCCTGAATTCCATTACTAAAAACTCTGCTATTTAGATGATGCAAGAAGTGCCAAAAACATCAAGCTGATCACATAGCATGCCTGCATGATAACTTCTTGATCAGTATCTTGGAAAGCCAGGTGATTTGGGGTTCAGTGCCATCAGATGGTTCACATGCAGAACCTTATGGTTGGAGCAAAATAAACATATTGCTTTAAGTAGATAGCTTTGAGAGATACAGACTGACTCTCAAAAGTGTCTTTCTAACTGAGGAGAAACACACATATAATTAATACCTTCCTTGTATTAGCATTGGCTTATCAGTGTGCTTTTAAGCATTTATACAACTAAGTTGCCTGACGTTTCCAGAAAATAGATGTGTCACTGATTATTTTAATTTCATTTAAAATTCCAATTAATAACATTACTAGATATTTTCTTCTGCTTGTTGATGCAATGAAGATACTAGCTTACTTCAAACACATTTCAGCAGGGTTAGATTTTTAGAGTTTGACTTCCACGTTCAAAAAAGCTATTAAATTGCTTTGCACCAAGAGATACTCAATAAATATCTGATAACAATGAGATACATTATCTGTTAGGTAGATTTCATCTCTTAGAAATATGCTTTTCCCTGAAGGTACACGTAAGTTAAATTATAACCAGCATGCATTTGTTCCCCTTCTTTATTGTATTATCTTTAAAGATAAAAAAATATGAGTGGCTAATCATTCCCATAAATAAGGAATAAAGAACAACAAGAAAAAATGCATTTTTATTAAAAAGTATAGTTACCAAACACAGTCAGATCAATTCATAAATTGATTTATGAAAATTTTTACCACTTATTTAATATACTTTTCCTAAAAAATGAGCCCTAGGATTTGAGGCCCAGTAGGCAGATATTACCTTGCAATTTTATTTGCCTCATGATATCAGATAATCCGATCTAATAACACAGAGAAAATTCTATCTCAATTATTTCATAATTACTGTATTCTCTGTAAAGTAAAAGTGGTTTTTAGAGTTTGTAAATAAAGATAACATCAAGAATAACAGCTCTTAGAAATGATAATAGAAGTTAGGCTTCATGAATATAATTTATTTAACTTAAGTTTTAATTTTTTTTTTTTTTTTTTGCCAAATGACAGCTTATATTAAGCAAAGAATTAAAAGGAAAGCTGAGAGTGACAGAATCAATATGACATTGGCTTAAATAAGTAAAGTTCTATTTTAGAGAAAACTCTATACTGGTTCCCCACGTGGACATCTTTTATTTCATTTAATTGCAATGTTAAATTTTTATTTCAGATTTAACTATATTGCAATCAGTTTAGCCAAAATTTGAGGTTAAATTTGCTTCAGTATTTCTGTTTAAAAATTTAAATTAAAGATAATTGTGGATAATATGCAGATTAAATGCATGATAAATACTGGAACATTTTTTTACACATATGTTCTGTGCTTAATTAAATTAAAATCTCTAAAGGTGTTGTAAAATGTAATACAGAGCACCTTGAGAAAAACTGATGAATTTCTCAAGAACTCAGAAATAAATTCTGGACATTCTTACTATTTAGTCTACACTATACAATATCCACCGTGTAAAGCACCTCCTCCAATTCTAGTTACACTTTCCCCCCATGAATTTGGATAATCAGGTGAATGAAATAATGTGACAGAAAATAATCTGTTTGACCTTCACAGTCGAAGTCAGTGGCATGAATACTAGAAACTCCTGAAACTATTTGATACTCAGAGGGAAAGAGCTAATTTTCTGGTT